ACCTGGGGCAATGAAGCAGCCAGCGCATTTCTGGAACCCCTGGAAGTGACATGCAGCTCAGGTCGTCTGTCCACCCTGCAGGAAGCCTCCACTACCTCCATTGTTGCTGGAGGCATGTAGTGGGGCTTCTTGGGGGTGGGAGGAAATGGGGGGGGGCCTGAACACCTCGCGATCAACAGGTCAGGTCGATCACGATCGACGGGTTGGTGACCACGGTTTTAGGATAATATTTTTCAGTTTAAAATTGACTGTTTTTCATGTCAGGGCTGGTTAAAGTAACCCTATATAAAGCAAATGACAAAAGACATAGGGAAGGTGGGGTAACATACCTTATTTTAAACCAGGAATAAAGGCAATTTGATAAAAAGCTCATTTCTGCTTTGTTTTTGTGCCAATACCGTTCTGTCTTTGCTACCATTGTATTTTCCTACAAATGTAACATCTGCTTTTCACCACCATTGAAGATAAAAAAATGCTTTGCTTTATCCTGAAAACTGCAGAGAAATTAGTTGAAATGTGCAGACTTTTTCTCTGCAGTCCACATCATTTTGAGCAGGGCATTGACTGGGTCTTTTCATTGTCCTAATAAGCTCTAATTTTTATATGCATCTTAAATTTCAGAGAGAATTGAAGGGGAGGGTCATTTAAATATATTTAGTGTTTTATTAAACTGAGTTCTGTTGGTTGTATTCATTGTAATAGAAAATCAGTAAAAACCACGCTGCTGTCCACACCATTTTAGTTGTTGTACAGTAGTATACAACACATTTATCTTAACTTGTAAGAGCAGTGTCAATCATCTGCATTATTTGAATGTTGAAGACTGTCTGTTGCAATACTTAGTTTTCCTGTTCAAAGGACACCTGATTTATTGATACGGAAAGCAATCAAGACTGACTTGGAAGAGGAATATAATGGATAGTGGAGCTTGTTTGGATCCAGGATAGGAAAGGCATGTCCCGGTGTAAAGGTGGCACATGATAGTCCATTTCCTAGTGTATATTTGCATTCCCATATTACTCCACATATTCAGTGAGTGCTACATGGAGTGTTTGCGAGTGGGAACAGTGGAAAATGTTTGTATGATGTCTGCAAGAATCTGTTGAGAGTCCTGTACTACTTCATTTTAATGGAACTTCTCTTGAATTTCATTATGTGTAACCTCTTTGGAAGACTGCACTTGTGTGTCAAGGACGTTGGAGAAAAGGAATGTTCTACATCAAGAAGTTAATTCTGTGCTTCAATGGTTTGGGGATTCTGCTAAAGTAGCTATTCCTCCCTCTTCTCTGGGCTTCTCAGAATTCTCTTTGGAGCCCTCAGGGTTTTCCCTGCCTGTTTTTTGTCCTATTGTAATTCAGCACACTAAGACTTACACCTTTCCAGCCAAAAAAGTTTTGGATGAGACCTCCTTTGGTGCATGTCTGCTTTGTTTCTTTATTACTTGCTGCTTCATAACTGTCTAGAGAGTTCCTGTTCTGCATCACATTCTCAGTCTTGCTGACTTGGAGAGTTAAATATTTAGGGCCAGGAATGAGCACTATCACAATCCCTATGAGTTTACTCTCGGGGGCAATTCTGCGTCAAAAAATAAAATGTAATTAGGTGAGAACTGATCACATTATGAAAAGTCCCTGGTAGTAAAAATTAGCAAATGAAGCAGTCTCAATATCCCAGACCCTGGGAGATCACAACCTTCATTATAGAAATTCTAGATAAACAAGTTAGCCAGGTATTTAACCTCACATGCTGTGTTTGAAAAATCATGAGACTCACTCCTCTTTCTGCCTGCCTACCTACCTTCTTAACAGTGCAGTGCAGTTTCTAGGAATCAAACAGTGACTTTTCCTCATAGCACCCAGACTCCAAAAGGGAACTTATCTAAAATGAGTCTTCAAGTTTTTTTACACCTGTGTGTCTCAAAGGCAGTCTTTTACTTCTCTCTTTTCTCTTTTTTTCATGAACACCTTTTGTCCATGGTAAATGGCATCGAGTAGTGGAACAGACACTGCATGTTTGCGGTGTTATTTGAACAGTGCTTCTGGGTACTTTTTTCATGTGTCCTTATTACATTTTTGTTGGTGTGCAAGGTGTGCACAAAGCCCATTTTGCTTGTTGCTTCTGAAAATTTTAGTAAATTACTGATAACGTATTCCATGGTAGAATTTTCTTCTGCTTAACATGTGTGTTTTCTGTTATAATCGGTGTCTAACTATGTCCACTAGAAATATGTGACATTACTGCTGGAACAACCAGTTCATTTTTTACACATGTGAATTAATATACAAATTAAATATAATAATAAGGTTTTAAAAAATAGGGC